GATTTGTCTTTTCATATCATACAACTAAGGACTAACATCTTTTATTCATACTAATTCAACCACTCACTCGGAAAAGTATACGAAATAAAATTGAAACACCAAAATGTCTTTTCCAGCTTTAAGTGTATTGCATCGGATGATATGTTTTATCAATGGGTTTAATATATTTTTGAGCTTGGTAATTTTTTTGTAGGTAACGTTGACATAGACAAATGAAAAAATACAATGGCAAGAAAATTGAAGACGGTTAAAAAAATATATTGACAAACTTCACTCAATCATGATTTATTAAATTTTTCTTTTGATATTAATTTAATTAAAAAAATTATGGAGTAATTAATAGTAGTGATAATCTAATTAAATGTAAATATTATGATCCCATATTTTTTTAATTAAAAATATACATAAAGACTTTATGTTACTGTGGCAAAATATATATTTTTTTCTTTTAGTCCATCTAAGTTTTTTTTTTAAATATATCATCTCAAACTATTGTGCAAAATAAGATTTTACATTCTAGCTACTTACAAAAATATTTTGGTTGACATAAAGTGATAAAAACATCGTCAATAGGACATCAAACGCTTCTTTCGTTTGTTCTACCAAGGATTTGCTCAACTTTTCCAATCCAAACAAAAATAAATCTTTACCTACTTTTTAACCACAACCATCAAGATACTCTACTTCCACATCAACAGAACTAACTGTTACAACATTTAATATGTTTATTATATATAACACATTATTTCACTTAGAATAATTTTTATTTTTTAAAATATAAATTCTTATCAAAAACTTAGTTAGATTCTTGATGTGATGACAATGAAATCACATCAACAAAATCTTTACATAATCTTCAAAAACCTCTCACACACGTAAACTCTTAACCCCTCTCTTTAGCTTTCTCTTATGTATTAACCAATAATATTTCGTTGTTGTATTTCATTTTCTCTTTGATTTTAAATAGTACCCACATATATATATCATATGCAATGTAATACTCTATATAAACAAATTTTCACTATTTCTAACCATGCTAAACCTTTAGTTCTAGATATTCATATAACCTTCTTCTATACATTTATAACAACTAAGAACATGTCGATAAATTTTTATTTTTTGAGACTAATCAATTCATACTATAAATCTCAAGAGATCACGTGATTATTAGTTTCTAAAAATATAATTTCATACATTTTCCATGAATTACTGATAATTTCTTTCAATAAAATTGTGTAGTAACAAATGTAATGATATTACTAATGATCGAATATTTTATTTTATTTCAACAATAAAACTGTTTAGTTCTCTTGTTCTTATATACTGTTTTAGATAACAAAATCAAAACTTTATACATGTGAGCAAACTTATATATTGGAATATTAATAAATTTAGTGAGATTACTAATACCAAACCGTTTATTTTATCTCTTGCGACGACGAAATTACCACATTTATAATTTCATATGTTTGTTCATCTACCTACTGTTATCTTTTGACATATCAACACTTTACATTTGCAAAGAAACTTAAAAACAAAAATCGATATTAAAAAAACCCACTAAAATGAAATTTTTAAAAAGTTCTAAGTTTCTGAAATAAAAAAATTGTTTATAGATTTCTTATTAACAAAATAAATTAAAATGCTAATCTGGCATACAACTATTGAATGTTTTAAATCCTATGTCTATACCACTATATTTCACTCTATTTTAAATTAAAAATAACAATAACAAAAGTTTTGGTAATTATAGATGGTTTTTTTTTTATAATTGAGATCTTAAAATTAAGAAAATTTCATAATCTATAGTATCTAAAATTAAAAAAAGAAATTAAATTCACAAAACGGAAAAATACTTAAACTAATTAGTTTATGAAATAAGGAAATTATATCTTAATTATGTCTTAATTTCTTATTAACCACACAAAGAAAATTAGCATAATTCTAAATGCTTACGTGGCATAACGCTATTGGTTTATTTAAATCCTATGTAGACGGTTTTAAGAACTAATAGCTTCAACTTTTGTATAGCATATAGATACCACTGAACCTTTAAAATTTTTTTGACCCCTAACAAACTTTAAACACTCAAAACTAAATCCTGAAAAAAACTCTGATCCCTAACAAACTTTAAACCCTAAAAAATAAATCCTAATATACCATAATTAACCCAAACATAAATGATATATTAAATAAGTGATTATGAAAAAGTGACATTTTGTTTTATTTTTTTGAAAAATGACATTTCAAAAATTCTCTATTATTATCATCTCTAGTACAAAATTTACATTTTCATGTTTTTTACTTTTTATATCAATTAAACAAAAAAAAAAAGAATTGAAACCGAATAAAGTACAATCAAACGGAACTAAACCGTACCAAACATATTCCGAATCAAACTAATTTTGGTTGAGATCGATTAAAAATCGTCTCCATTCTAATCACATCATTGTGGATAGCTTTCAAATCAAGCCCAGAGTTTGGGCCCAAAAGCTTTTCAGCTTTCCCGCCTTCCCGAAACCTTTAGTTTTTGGTTTTGGCGAAAATGAAATTCCGCA